GGACGTTTCCTGAAAAATTTCAAAATATTATAAAAGAACAAGGATACACATCAATTCAAGTTTTCGATGCCAACAAAACTGGGCTTTGGTAGAACAAAAATGCTCAGTTGAACCTTTATATCGAAAAAAGAAAAAAAACTGCATCCTGATTTAAGGTGTCTAAAAATTGTTTAATGCTATTTTTGTGCTGTATGACTTTGGACTTTAGACAAAACCCTTGTTCGTTTATAGATATTTAAATCCTCGTGGACTTAAAGACATAAATAAAAACACCTTACTGGTATATGGGAAAGCAAATCCAAGAGTTTGGGTAGCTGGGAATATATTTAAACATTGTTTTGTGTCAGACACTGAACGTTGTTTAAGGCAGAAAAATTTGAGTTTCAAGGCGTTTGCTCCATGTCATCCAAAAGATTTGAAACATCTCAATGTCAAAATACTGTTCCTATCACCTAACACTACTTCGTTACTCCAACCATTGCTACAAGGTATTATTTATACCTTTAAAACGTATTACATAAGAAGAGCATTACAGTAGATTTTAGAGATAACCGATTTAAAATCGATTAATGTAATGGAAGCTTGGAAGACATTTTCAATCAAAAAACTAAATCGACATTGTATCTTGGTCACTGAAAGAACTGAAAGCATCAATGTTAAATGCATGTTAGAAGGAGATATGGCACTCTTCAGTTGAAATAGAAAACATGTGTGAATCGTCAGAAAATGAAATTGGCGGCATGTTAGAACTTGCTAAATCAATCGGAGGCGAAGATTTTTTTAACATGGCTATTGAGTATGTTCAAGAGTTATTAGCGGAAGAAGAAATTAACGAAGATTTGATAGAAATGACATCCAAAGCTGTAAATAAAATCGATTCTGAGGACACTACTACTGATGAAGAATGCGAAGTTAATAATTTAACATTAAAAAAATTAAAAGAAGGTCTATGCTTAGCTGAAAATATCGAGTTATTTTTCTTAAGTGCAGACCCTTCCTCTGAAATAAGCCGAAAATTCAAAAGGGAGCTGCAAAACTGTCTTGCTCTTTGTCGAGAAATTTAAAATGCATCGGTAAAAACTAGTAACCAAAGTAAAATTGCAAATTTTTTAAAGATGAAGAAAATGCCAGAACTCTAAATGAAGGAAAAATTCTGAAAGTGAAAGCGATCTCATTCCGCTGAAAAAACGTTCTCTGTTGATTATACCGAGCAATGACAATGAAGAAATTTATTAAATTAAAGTTGCGTTAAACTAAAATATGTAATATTTTTTGTTTTGTGTTGCACATAGATATATATTTTTAATATTGTTTCTGTATAATTAAAAACTAATTTTTTTAATAAGTTTTAGGAATGTAACTCCCTTTTTATACTGCCTCTGGATCTCACACACCATGGCATTTTCTAGGAACCTATCTACCGTGTTATATGAGAGTTACTTGTATATATATATGTAAGATATAACAAAATATGATGGCTGCTTTAAAAATAATTGGCGACCTCAAAATTAATGATTCTAGATTTGGTGCTATCCCCCTAAATTCATCTGTTCTCCCAAATTCGAGATCCTTCTATGTTATATAACAAATTTAAATTAACCAATCATAGCTTGTCTCTACAGTTACATTAGACTTAGTATAAATATTTTTGGCACAATAAACTATGTCATTCCATGCCTTTCCCTAAGTGCTACTCTGCCAACCTCTTCTCAGTGCCGCTTCACTTCTCAGGTGCCTACGTCTCACTTTTAAAATTAATGTGCATAGGATTTACTGTATTTCATTATGATTGGATAAATATCTACTAAGATGGTTTTATGTGTGTGAAATAAAGGTTGGGAGTTCTTCAAAATTCATTCGTGTTGGCATCATCTGTCCGTCTGTCCACTCAGCCATTACGACTATGCATTAAAAAATCAAGCACACACACTACACACACACACACACACACATATATATAAGTGTATGTATGTGTGTGTGTGTAGTGTGTGTGTATGTATGTGTGTAGTGTGTGTGTAAGTGTATGTTTGCGTGTGTTTATTTTTTTAAAATTATATTGAGCCCAAGGATTTAATATTCATGTAAGAAATCAGTGTCTTCACCAGAACTGCCTTTATCTAAATATTGCCTAAATGAACATGTATACATGTTCAACTGCCAACTAACCAACCTGCCAACTAACAAACAGAAGCCCAACCACCAGATTGTGACATCACAAACTGGCGGCTGACAATTGCCTTTTTTTCACCCATAATCTGCTATAAAAGTATATGTGTTTTTAAAGCTTTACTAACAGGATAGTTTCTTCTAATGTATATACATATTATTATTTTTTTTTCTACTTTATGTATATAAGTAAACAATTTAATTAATTGCAATAAATTGCCTAATACTTGCACTAAAGCTCCAAAGTAATAAAATAATTTATTTTCTAATAGATTATTGAATATATTATCCCCTTTGACAAAAGTTATTGAAATGAACTATAGCTCATTAGCATATTTAAAAATTGAAACTTGAATAAATTTAAAATGGAAACATTAGATATCATTAAAAGTGAAAATTCAATAAATAAACCAAGTAATTATATACATGTAGAGGGAGAGAGAGAGATGAAAATATGCATTTTCAATTCCTTCATGGATATAATATTGGAAGCATATTCATATGCACAAAAATACATTATAAATTGTTAATTTTTGTATGGTCTTATATTGTATGTTTACAGTTAAAATAATGCTTTAAAGTAATGCTTGACTTTTGATAAGTAACAGTAAGGAAAAGTTATAATCTCTCTCCATGCTAATTATATTCAAGTCACTTGACTGCATAAAAATTATACAGGAAGGATGTATAGAAATATTTTTTAAAGATATTAGAAGCTTTTAAATTTTAGCAGGGCAGATTTATAAGCACAAAAGTTTCCATTAAAGAAACTAATTCTATATACCCATATAGACACAAGTTGTATTGCAGTTCTTTCTAATGTTTTGTAAATAGCAAGGTGTTACCCGAGGTTTCCAATCCTTGTTACCAGAGGATTGGAAACCTCAGGTAACACCTTGCTATTTACAAAATCTACGTGGTAGAGCTTTAATTAAGTCAGGAAAAATGCAATGGCATAATAGGATACCAGTTGTCCATTGCATTAACACTCCATCCTTTCCTCCTTCTGTAACAAAATTCACAATTTTTTAAATAAATTTTTTTCTGCTTTCATTTTACCAAGTTGTTTAATAAGATTCTCAAAATGTGCTTATTTTTGTTGCATTCAAATTGTAGATTTTTTGTATAAATTAACATTAAATAAAAAAATTTCAGTAGAAGTTTGTGCTCTAACTGGCATCTGTATCTATGCAATTACATTTTAATGCAATGAACAAAAATGAAGTTTCTCAAAAGAAGATTTAAAGTAATCTTTTTTCATCATTTAAAGTTTGAATTTTTCTTTTCTTTTCACCTTATTTGGACAATGAGTCATTTATTTTTTTGTACAGTAACTTCTTAAGAAATATGTTTGTTTGTGGGCACACGCACAAGAAGTTTAAGAAGTCTATTGGACAAGTGTACTTTTTCACTTATCTCAAATGGCAAGTACTTTTCATCGCTAAATAATCGCTGAAAATCTTTCTCATGGAAATGTAATTCACAGACCTAAATTCCACAAATGTAAACATGGACCTAATTACTAATTTTAAAGTAATAAAAGTCGGATTTCTTGCAGTGCAATTTATTTCTGTACAAAACAGGTAATAGCAAGCATATGTGTGTTTATCTCCCACTCAGGAGGGGGGGGGAGAAAATGAATCTTAGTGACATAAGTTTTAATAATAATTGAATTTTCATGCATTAGGAATTTAATTTATTTCCTATTTTATGCAAAACTATGTACTTTATATTACAATTAAAAAAACATTAGCATATTTATTGCCTTCACAGTTTCTTTATAAAAACTTCTATTACAAAAATATATTAAGTATTAAATTAAATACTTCCATTTTCTGGTACTGTAAGCATATGAAGTTAAAAGTTCCAAGTTATAAAATTAATCAAAAAGTAAAAAATTGGAGATTATAAAAAGTAAGTGAATATTTAGAATACAATTCCATACATAATTATTAACCATACAATTCGATACATGATTATTTTGCACAATATTATAAATAATGCATACTATAGAACAGAAATTCCTTAATATTAACATATCCATTCTTTTAAATACAGAAGCAAATACTGTAATAAATTTTAATTTCAAATTAGGCTTAACGGACCCTAGAATACTTCAAAATGGTAAAATTTTCTCGCAGTATCAATTTTTACCATCTATTCAAGAAATCTTGTTGTTTAGGAAATCTGTATACTGACACTTTAGGGCCATCATTATAATTTCCTCGGCATAATAGCGTACAACACTTTAGGCATAATGAAAACCAGGGGACAAAAAAATCAAGATTAAATTAAGAAGACATTCAACCTACGGAAATAATGCCTTGGTTCACTAATGCATCCTCCCACGACCAAGCACGAAATTCCCCTAACTTGCTAATGCCGTCAGGATGGCCTTGGTTTGACCGAAGGGGCTATCTTTCACACCCCATCGAGATAGCCAACAGTTTGTGATATCACTAAACTACCAGCCTTCAGTAGGGAGATTTGTGTTTGGAAAGGGTGTTGTAACTACACAAACACCTCCCCCATATATTATTATTATTATTATTATTATAACGAATTAATTAATACTATGTGTCTATTTTAATTCAGAAGGCTGATGGAATTTGTAATTGCACTTTACTACATTTTATATCAGAACTATGTGCATTAAAGATTATAATCAAATAAAAAAAGTGTATAATTTTTTCCTTCATTTTATTAATAAGATATCCTATTACACAATGTAAAATATACGTGGAATTTTTATCAAGTGGGTCCTCAGATTGCAATTTGAATTAAAGAGAAAAAGCAGTAGTTTATTTAAATTATGACTTTTTTTCTTATTATAGCAATTATCTGAAAGTTTAGATGCATTTGGCCAACCTTGGACATTAAATCCTGGTGATGGAGCATTCTATGGACCTAAAGTATGAAAACATACATCTCACTCTCTCTCTTTTTTTCCTCCCCTTTTCTTTCTTTCCTTCCCCCCTTTTTTTTTCTTTTTCTTTTTTGGTTGGTTACAAATGTATTTATATAGATCATTAATATTTTTTTATGTGGACAATATTAATATTTAATTAAAATGCATTCTATTATTATTTCAGATGCATTAAATATTTATCTTCCTTTTTAATTCATTAAACAAAATGTGTGTTTCTATTTGCAATTCATCTTTTATATTCTTAAACGTCTGTTTTACATATAGATTGATATTACTATTATGGATGCCTTGAGAAGAGCGCATCAGTGTGCAACTGTACAGTTAGATTTTCAGCTTCCAATTCGTTTCAACTTAACTTATGACAGGTAAAAAGTGCTTCTTCTTTTTCTTTTTTTTTGGGGGGGGGGAAGGGGAGCAGTTTGTACAGTTGTTTGTGTCTGTATTATGTTTAGTAGTTTTTATGTTTTAAAAACAATTTTTTTTCTCCAGTGATTCTGGTGAGAAGAAGAGACCTGTGATAATTCATCGTGCTATTTTAGGCTCAGTGGAAAGAATGATTGCAATCTTATCTGAAAGTTATGGTGGAAAGTGGTTAGTATTTTTAGGGTTTTTACATCATATCGGTGAGCATATTCATTTTTGATGTTTTAAACATACTCTTCTAGCTTTTGAAATAGGAGAAATATTTCTGGTCAGTTTTTAAAATTTTCTGAAAGGATAGCTGTAGAATAATTTTCTTTTACATTGAACAAAAAAGATAGTTTAATTTTTATTTGCATTTATCTGATTTTTAAGATATTAAAATATCTTACAAATTTTTTTAATTAACATTTAAAAATTTAAAAAGAAAGAATGAGTTTATTGAGTAATTTCATGCTTTTAAAAATTAATTTTGTTTGTTGGTGTATGTGGAGCATATGAGGATTATTTGCTTAAAGAAAAAGATGCATTCTAAAAATTTTTTTAAGGCATGCTGTCTTGTATTTATGCTATACATAGGAAAAAGTATGAAAATGCCCATGCAGCAGCCTATTCATTCATATTTGAGCATAGTTGATTTAGCAGAGCTTAGTAATTTTAATTGTTCTGTCAGTAGTAGCCACAAATTTTTTAAGATTAATTTTTAATGCACATAATGAAGAAAGTGCCTGATAAAGTTAATGCTTCTGACAGGCTTCATTAAAAATCTATTTTAAATTACGAAAAACTTTATCATTTTTTGCGTTGAAAGGAAGTCAGGAAAGAGATTGACCCAATGAAACTAAATTAGAATTGCATCTAATTTTGCACAAAAATGTTTTATGTCTGAACAGTTTGAGCAGCCAGTTTCTCCCCACAGTTTTCTATGATGATGGGAAGGATGAATGTCCATGTCTGTAGTGGCGTTTGCATACATCAAACAATCAAAAGGAAAGAAGGATCAGGATTTTCTAACTATTTAAAACATTAGGTAACCTAAGTGTGTAAAATTTCTGGAAGCAGAGATTTCTTGTAAAGTTGCATTTGTCATGGTCTTGTTATCTGTCCAGTCTGATAAAGGTCTTAGAAGGTTTAAAAGATGTGGGTATAGGGTTCCTTAAATGTCAATCCTAAAGATGTACTTTGAATTATATGTTCAAAATGATGTGGGAAACTTATGAAAATAGTTTACTGTGGGTAAGAGAGTTATATATGTGTAAGGAGTAATATTTTATATGTTTTTCACAAATCAAAACATTCAGTTAATAAAATGTTTAGTATGCTTTAATATAATAATAACAAAATGTTTCCATTGGTTCATGTGCAAAATCTGTGGATGTTTTAGTGATAAAAGGGTTATTATTATTATTATTATTATTATTTCTATTGCCAAACATAATTCAATGTCTCTTTGCTAAGTATAGGGAACAATAAAAAGTAAAAATGCATTATAACTTTATCAAATTAAATATAGTCACGTGTTTTTTAAAAATAATAATAATCTAACGTGGAATTAAAAAAAATTAAACATTAATATTTAAGGACTATGGTAAGAATTCATAGAGACAAGATTTTTCAGGATTGCATTTTCTCTCATCCTCCTTTAAAAGAAGAGCAGTTTTGGGATGCTTGCAGCATTACTTCTATGTGTTAATTTAATGTTTATTAAAGAATAGGTAAAAAGTAAACAAATACTAGTAATTTTTATTTTAAACTCTAATAAATGAATGCGAGTGCAAATTGCACACTTTTACATACTTTCCCTATTTCTGAACTTCTTAAAATGTTTTGTATGGTATATATATATCTATACATGTCTTATAAATATTTATGAGAGAATTTTGAAAATCGTAGCCATTATAAAATAGTTTTTTTTTTTTTTCTTCATTGAAAGTAGAAGATTTGTGAATAATACGTTTTGGAAATGTTTTCCTTTGAAGATATGTGCAAAATAAAAAATATGTGAAACTTTAATTTGCAATAATCTCTTAATTTTCTATTTTAATTTGGAGATTTCCTCTTTTTGTCCTAAAAATGGTAGTAAATCTCTCTAAACTGTGTCATTTCCAAATTATCTGTATCAGGGGTGTTTGTGCTCCGGGGAAACCCCGGAATTCCGGGGATCGTCGTTCAAAAGGAAGTAGGAATAATAATGAATTATTTATTTTGATCTGGGTAATTTTGTTTGCTTTGAAAGCAGAAAACGCAAGGTCAGTGTGTGTGTGTGGTGACAACTTTTCCTTCCTTTCTCCAAAGGCAGTGATAATGCGTGAAAAGGGGGGAAATACTTCTTTTTTTTCATTCCTTATTGCGAGTTATGACTCATTCCCCCGGTTCTTGGACATGCTCTTCTGGATTCTTTTCGGCAAGTAGGTGCGGCAGAAAAAAAAAAGGAGAGACTTCGTTTGACCAGATGTGCGATCACGTGACTCTGGGTTCAAAGGTCTTATCTCTCCTGGCGTGGCGACAATAAGTAGAGAAGGGGGATTTTTCGCCGTATTAGTTATTAGTCATTGATCGCTTCTCAACTTTTTTTTTTCCGCTGTGTAAAATTTTCGTTTCATTTATTGATGCACGTGTAAATTTTTCGTTTCGTTTATTGAAATATTTTTTTATTCATGTACGCAAGAGAATTTCACTATGAAATTTCTCAATATAAATAGTGATATTATACAATTAGAAGAAGGTGTCCGGAATGCATTTAGGTGGAATTGGATTGAACGGAGAGATGGTATGGGGATACCAGCACATGGTCAAGAAATAAATGTTTCTGGACAAGCATATGTGTTTTTTTACTCACTGCTGAAGTATGGTGGGGAAGGATTCAGGCTTTACAAATCATTCTGAGCACATAAAATATTCAAGGCATAGACATCAATGACTTAAGTAATCTTTTAAGTATTAAGACTATTTAACTGTAAGATTACGTCATTTTTTCTCTTCTTGGCGCCTTGCATGGCGCAGATGTTCATTACAGCAACCCTGTAAACGCTTACTCAGTTTTTTTTATTGCTGCTGTTGTTAGTAGTAAGTCATCGCTTGAAAGATGACACGCATTTGATTAAAGTTGTCGAATAAAATATTTAGTACAGTCCACTTCTAGTTAATTTGAAATTGTTGTATAGCAACGCACGCATCGCATGAACACTTTATGGCCCGTCGAGCCACAGGTAAAAGACATCGTTGCTAAAATTAACTTTTTAGAACATTTGAATACTTTCGTTTGGTTGTATTACGCATAACTTCATATAGAGTGTTTGGAATGCTTTCGTTTTCGTGTGGATTACGCAATTAAGATTGGATACTGTGTCATCGTTCATTTCCGGTGTTGCTGTCGAGAAATCTGCAATCACGGTAAGTGATAAATTATTTATTTGTTCATGATGAGTGAATTGAAAGCGAATTAAAGCTAACAAAAAAGTTTAAAAATGCAGTATCAGAAAGTTTGAAAATAAGGTAAATTCTACAGTGGATGAAGCAGATATTTCCTTATTGGAGTTATACGAATCAAAAATATTAGAATTTAAAAAGGAATTAAGTAACATTTTCGATTCTTTATTTGCACATTGTGAAGAAAAGGACACTGACGAATTCATTAAGGAAAAGGAAAATGTAGTAGATAATCTCGATGAAATTCATTTGAAAATTAAAAGAAAAATTTCTGAGATCCGTTCTCAAAGGAATAGCTGCTCAAATGAAAACGGTTCGAGTAAAGACATAATTGTTTCGGATATAAAATTGCCTAAATTGTCTCTTCCAATATTTAGTGGGAAAATCGAAGAATGGATTGAATTTGAGGATTTATTTTCCGCAGCTGTGCATAAAAATAGCAAATTAACTAATGCGCAAAAATTGCAATATTTAAAGAGTTCGTGTAAGGCAGACGCTTTAAATATTATTCAGTCCATTCCAATTTCAGATTCGAATTATGACATAGCATGGAATCTGTTGGTTGATCGCTATTGCAACAAAAAAGATTTGATCAATTCTATCATAAAGAAATTAATTTCTATACCTCAAACGAGTGATTCTACTTCGTCGCTTTTAAAATTTATCGATAAGGTGCATGAATGTTTACGATCCTTGGAAGCATTGGAGCAAAAGGTGGAAGAATTTTCAGACACGTTAATTGTTTATTTATTAGTTGAAAAGTTGGATAGAAATACTCGGTGTTGGTGGGAAAGGTCACTTAAAAAAGACGAGATAGGAACGGTTAAACAACTGACATGTTTTTTGAAGGAACACGCTCGCACCCTATCACATTACAAACCTCCGCATGGGGAATCGAAACGTTCATTTAATACCAAAGCTCTTACATCACTTTCGGAAAATTCAAAAAATTGTCCTTATTGTAAAGCTGATCATTTATTGTTGAAATGTGCGCAATTCTTAAATCTAACAGTCAAGAAACGATTTGAATTTGTAAAGACAAAAAAAACTATGTTTCAATTGTTTATCTTCGGTCCACACAATCAAGGACTGTAAAAGTTCTAATACATGCAGAAAAATGTCAGAAATTTCACAATTCGCTCTTACATTTTGATCGAAATGAAGAAAATTTCGATAAAGCAAATGGCACATCGAATCAAATCACAAACAAGACTAATAAATTAAGCAGTAATCTTTCTCCAAATGCTGATACATTTACTCCAATGGCAAGCAGCCAAAAGGTTAGTGACACTAATGAAACCAACCAAGCAAAGTCCATTAACGGTACTGCGCTTGAATATTTCCAGTTCTTTTAATAAACAAGTTCTACTTTCAACTGCAATTATTTTCGTTAAGGGTAATGATGGAAAATTTATCTCGCTGAGAGCCTTGCTGGATTCCGGTTCTCAAAATAATTTCATTACTAAAGAAGGTGCTGAGTTATTGAATTTGAAGAAAAGAAAAATAAACGCTTCTATTTCAGGTATCAATGGTACAGTTATGGGTGTTAAGGAAAAAGCTATAGCAACCATCGCTAACGCTACTAGAGATTTTATTCGTACCTTACAATTTTTTGTTGTTCCAAAAATAACTCGCGTAACGCCTGCTAGATATATAAACATTCCTGATGTTAAGCAGTTGCAACTCATTGGTTTAGCTGATCCAGAGTTTTTATAAACCTGGTCAAATACATGTTTTATTAT